CTGTTAACGGTCGAGTATATGCTGCAGCAGTTCGGCCAGTTCTGCTTTACGGCGCAGAGACTTGGCCATTTCGGGAACAGGATAAAAATAGACTATTCGTGTTCGAACACCGTTGTCTACGTCGCATTGCACGAGTCTAGTGGGGAAACCAGACGAGGAACGCTGAGGCTAGGCGCAGAGTTTTAGGTATTCGCGGTCGTCCACTGGAACAGGTAGTCAACCTCCAAAGATTACGCTGGTTGGGACATGTGCTACGCATGTCACCAGATAGGTTGCCACGGCGAACGATGTCTGGTGAGGCAGGTGGCGGTTGGTAAAAGGTCAAGGGTGGTCAAGCGAAGACCTGGCACGAGGGTATGAAAACCCTAACCAGGAGACTGGCTCACATTGCTCCCTGGCTGGAGACCCATAGATCATGGCCACCGATGGTTAGAGACACTGAGCGACATGGCTGGGTGTCGCAACCAGTGGCGCTCATGCATCTACTCATTATTCTTGTCACTTCAGTCTATGAAAATGCGCTACCTTCTGCTTAAATATGCTCTCAACATTCTAATCATCATTCTGCTATTTTATCCAAATGGGCAACTAAAACCGGCGCACAAAAGTGCATAGTTAATGGTTGTAATAACTGAATTGAACAAATGACGGGGTTGCATACAAGGCTGCCGACCGTACTGGAACACACCCCTCGAACCCGACCACGCGTCCGCGTGTTTCGGTGAGCGTTCTAAACGCACGACACAACAACGGTTAGATCATCATAAGTTGTCTGAACTAACATGCTTGACTGTCATTCAGAATGCGCTAACTGAAAAGCTAGAACGAACCCCACCCAATGCCGTCAACCAGCACTCATCGCTTATCAAGAATGCTCTGCATTCTGCTGGCTTAGATTGTTGTGGTCTGGCACTTAGAGCCGCGACACCCCGGATTTCCGCGGAGTCTACGCCTGCTCGATGCAAGCCGATCAATCCGGAGCGACAGCGAGTATAATGAACTACGACATGCAACGAGTAGTAACCTCAACGCAAGCGAGATCTGGTGGACTCAACACGCGTCAGATGGAACGTGCTGCCACCCTGGGAAACTCTCGAAAACTGTTCCATCTCATCCGGGTCACCGGTAGGAAAGCCTTGGGTGTGAGCGAAACGATCTACGAAGATGATGGTTCACCCAATTCATAATCAACAGCGACATCTTACACGCTGGGCGGAACACTGAGGCAGTTCAGTTGACCACCAACGTAGGCTTCTCATATAGCTATTCCTGCACACGTTCCATGGTCTGTTTCAACAGACCCAACTTCTGAGGCGGAAATCCGTAAGGAGATCCAAACCTTGAGACGTCACAAACCACCGGATTCCGATGGCATTCCCCTACTCTATTTAAAGATGGCGGAACACAGCTTGTTAGAGAACTATAGATTCTGTTTTCACAAGTGTAGAACACTGAGTAGGTGCCCTCCTCGTGTGTGGAATAGATTGTCATCCTCATCTTCAAAAAGGGCCCAAGCAGTATTATTGATTCTGAGTTTAAAAAGATTGTAAGTTGGGGTCAAAACAACAAGTGGGAGGGTGTTCCACAGTCTGGCAGTTCGGGGGAAAAAGAAGATTGGAGGACAGAGATACGACAACTGGGAACAGGGAGATGATAACGATGAATGGATGCCAGTGTACGGGATGGGTGGGTAAAAGCTGCAGGAAGAGGAACTGCGGAGGCAAGTTCTGAAGAACAAAAACCAAAGTAGTAGCGGTAGGACAGGGACAGTGAAACAACTGCCTGACGATGGACTAGCGACTGTAGACTGGATGTTAGGGAAGGATCATCGATTAGCCGGACGGCCTTTCGTTGAACACGATCAAGGGAAAGGGAAGAGGACGAAGCCCCAGCCCACATGTGAGTACAGTATTCAAGAGCAGTGCGGATTTGAGCTTTGTACAATTGAAGATGCCCTGCGGACAAAAAAGTCTGGCGAGAAATACAAATCCAACCTTGCGCGCAGCATGAGAAGCAAGCTTAGTTATAAAAGGGGACCAGCATAACGAAGTTATAGGCAATCCAAAAAGGGAAACAGAGTCTGTGGAATGCAGTTGGGTGAAATCAAAGATAAATGGGCAGAGAATGAATGGTATTTTAAAGAAACTGAAAGGAGAGGTTTTAGGATTACTGAATGAGACATGGTTTGTAATGCCCCACGAGAAAATCGGAGTCCGGTGGCAGTAAGTGAACTACAGTCACCATCGATGTTGGTTTGGGCATGGAGAGCAATACTGGTAGGAGAGGGAGCAGTGGAGGGTGGCGTCATCAGCAAAAGAATTAGTCGGGTTGGCAGTTTGGGAAACAAGATCATTGATGAATAGAACGAAGAGGGTGGGGAACACCAGCGTTCACACGGAATGGCTGAGATACAGCCCCATCAACTCGGACGGAGACGGTTCCCTTACTGAGGAAACTTGATATCCACGCTACGAGCGCCGGAGAGAACTCGAACATGGGTAGTTTCGCCAGTGGACCTTCGTGCCGAACTCGGTCGAAGGCCTTTGAAATGTCAAGTGTGTTTCTCTATGGTGCGACCTTCGACTCTGTCGATAGGACCCCACTATGCAACTGTTTTTTTATGAATGTAGTACCTGAGAAGCANGAACGATCCTCAAAGAGTTGTATCGTTATACCCCAAGTCAAGTTAGGGCCTATGGCCAGCTTTCACCGCCCTTCTTCGTCTCCAGTGGAGTTCGACAAGACTGCCCTATATTCCTATTCCTTTTCAACTTTGTCATAGAGGATGCTTAATCTGGTCTAACAAACGGTGGAGACGAACTCCTACTAGGGATATATACGTATATATTTTCGCACGTCTGAAATCAGACTGTGCCAAACAAATTATAGTACAATAATCTTAATGAGAAAGAAAGGTGTTCGATTATTTGCATGTGGGCGCAATACTGCCAGGCTGCCCAGGACAAGGCAGGTGAATTATCTTGCGGAATCCACAACCGGAGCCGTTGGTTATCCAAAGCCTGACCCGCAAGGCAGAGGAGCGGTGTGCGAAAACCCCAATCCATTGGGGGACGGTGTCCAGCTCATTGGACGGGGTTAAACGTCCAAAGTGCTCACTCTAGCAGGTGACCATTACCACAACCCGAAAGGTGTTTTGTACGCCTCCTTTTGGTTGGTTTGGAATCAGTGATTTTGACCAACTTCCAACTATGTGGACTACCAACCCGGTTATAACCCCGGATGTCGGCCTTTTGTCCTCTCAAATGGGTGGGAAAACACCTTCGCTACGATAAAGCAATGAGTAGGGTTTCCTCAGCACAGACTATTTGAGACGCTTGGTCGTATGGGAGCATTTCGCGAGGTGCAAGGGAAGAGTGACCAGCCACAACACAAGAGACCCACCACCAACTATAGTGAGGCTTCTGCAGACCCTCTCAGGGAACACAGTTCTTGATTTAGAATATGCCGATGACATCGCCTTGCTGGGTGACAATACACAGGCAGTCCAAAACACTGAGCCACTTGGTGACCGCGGTATCCAAGTATGGTACGTGCTTTGGGCCGTCCAAATGGAAAGAGGTC